ACCCCTCCCCCACACCATCCAGCGCTCCAGAGGAAGAGCCTGGTTAGTTTAAGCAGGACATGGCATTTTTCTGCTCACAAGTTGTTGTTATTTTTCTGAATATAGAGTTATCAGGGTCTTTGCGTGTTCCTGCTGGCAAATGGTAATGTGCGTGTTAGTGACAGTCACATCTATTTGTGCAATGTTTCTGTCTTCGTGTCTCTTGTTCCCTGTGCAAGCATTTTGTCAAGAAGATGAGCTAAAGTGTGCAAACTACGAGTGTGTGCCACGCGCCCGCTGGTGTGACGGGAAAGCCGACTGCGGGGACAGCTCAGACGAATGGGGCTGTGGTAAGTGCGCGGCCTGCATTGCTGGACGCTCTCCAGGAATCTCAATGGCTTCACAGATTTTACTAACCACACTCGTCCATTTTGCTTTACTATTGTGAAAGCTGACAGTGGTGACTCACATACGTTATTTGCAAGTCACAGAAAATACCCCCCACAACTGACTGCTCTATTTGAAATGTCTGTATTATGTGTAAACACATAATATTCAAATTGTTATGGCCATATAACCGCTAGATTATAACTTCTAAATGACCTGCAGTTTATTAAGTACAGATGGTGTTCTTTTATATAATAGGAATTAGTGCGTATACCGAATGAACCCCAAATTAATCTCACCATTGCACACTTGCATTCTCATATGCTTTCTTGAAAGGTAATGAATGACATAAAGGAAGTTACAACTAGCTCCTTATAATTACGCAAATCATCGGGTAAACTCACAGGAATGGGCCCTGCCTCTGGCCATCTTCTAAATAAAAATGAGTTAAGGACTACCTGTCTCTTTCACTGGACCTGCAGTTTTTTGAGGGCAGAGAACATTTCTAATTCATTTTTTCAGTTCTCCACCACATTGAGGGCAGCAATTTTCACAGGGCAGGTATTCACCAAATGGTCCTTAACTAAAATTAATAAAGATGAATGTATGCAAGTGAAGAAAGGCAGGTAAAGTTACCATGAGAGGAAATATTTTAAATTAAATTTTTCTCTTTTTTTTCAGTGACCCTCTCTAAAAAGGAGAACTCTTCATTGCTGACTGCCCACCGATCTGCCACGGAACACCACGTGTGTGCGGACGGCTGGCAGGAGAGCTTGAGCCGGCTGGCCTGCAAGCAGATGGGTTTCGGGTAAGGTCAGTAGTTTGTAGCACTGATGACTTTCTCAGAGGGTGCGTGGAACTGAGCTGTAATATCTTCCTTATGAATGCAGAGTGGCAGAGTGCTCTCAGACAGAGCCCTCCACAGCCTGGGACGTGAACCAGGCGACAGGACCGCATTTAATGACAGGCACCTGCTCTGAAGAGTCTGGGTGGAAAACCTACTTTGATGAAGCCTCTAAAAGTAAATGAAGTAATTGTGTTTTAAGCACTTCTGAAGTGAAATGCTTTCATTATTTATAAAGGTATTAAGATGGTTTCCTCTGAGGAAACTGGATAGGAAAATTGTGTGAGATAACCCAAGAGGTAATTGAAAATTACTGTTTAAGCAACATGTTTTTTTGTAAGTTGAAAAATAGAACTTAAAGTTACTGGTATCTCAGTTTACCCCAAGTAATGCAGGAAAACTAGATCAGGAAACGGTTACCCATTTTTGCTTCCTAGTAGAATGAAGACACTCACTCTGGCTTTGATATAAGCACACTGAAATCCATACTTTGAAAGTTGTATACTTGCTCTTTTGTGGGGGTTTTTCTTTCAGTTCTGTCAGGGGTGGAAAGCAATAATTGAAGGGTCCTAGAGTGTGTGTGTGTGTGTGTGTGTGTGTGTGTGTGTGTGTGTGTATCTCACTGATGTATGTGAGATTTTGGGAAAATGTAGAAATGAGATAAATAAAAGACAAAGGAGTTATAAAATACAGTACTAGAATAAAAAATTGTACTCAATGGCATTTCCCAGGATTCCACTGAGCAAACTTGAAACAATTTTATAATGATGGGCCATTCAACTGGAGGGTAACAGCTAGCAGCATTTTTAAAAATCCCAGTTTAAAGGATTATCTAGATCCCAGCATCTTCAGCCCATTTTTCCCATGTAAAAACCCACATCTTTGGAAAATTGAGTAACCGTTGTAATCAATAATAAAAGAACTTTAAACTTTGCCAGGGTGGAAAAATTATATTTGCCAAGACCTATTAAATTATACTTTATTTTCACAACTTCCTTATTATGTTTAAATGAAATGGGATATGATTTGATTAGAGAAAAATGAAAAGGCCTTTGAAAGTGCTTTATTTTATTTTTCTCTCACCAAGACACAAGATTATTTCTTAGTGTGAAAACTAGATTACATGACAGCTAACTTCATTGAGAGTTCTGAGGAAAAGTCAGAACTACAAAGATTTACAACCAGAAAAACTGCTTTGACAAGACACTCTGTTCTACTACAAATAGAAGGGATCTTGTTTTAAATATTCTACTTTATGCTGCTTCTAATTTTTTTGCATACTGGATTTAAGATTTTTATTATGGTAAAATACCCATAACATAACATTCACCATTTAACGTGTTAAAGTGTGCAATTCAGTATTTGGTATATTTACAATGTTTGCTACCATCACCATTACCTGGTTTCTTTCACTTGGCATAATGCTTTTATGCACCCACATATTGGCACTTCATCCTGTTTATGGCTGTATAATATTCCACTGCATAGATATATCTCATCTTAAAAATCTATTCATCCATTGATGGACATTTTGGTAGTTTCCTCCTTTAGCTATATTGTGTACATGTTGAATTTTTAAAAAACCCTCTTTACTCCATTTTCTTAACCTGGTGAGAAAATATCATTTTAATATTTTAGAAATTTAGAATCTAAATTGACATTTAGATCTTTTAAAAGATAACCTTATTTTCCAGAAGGACTAGGAAAATCTGAGAGAGCAGTATGGCCGGAAAACCATAACCTTTATCTGGCTCTGTTAATGGATAAAAAGTGATAAGTCTCCCGAGGAAATGAGTAGGAAAGGTAACCTTAGTATTTTTTATACTTTCTGATTGCCTTCAAGTTCACTCTTCAGCTTACTTGGATGTGTTATGAATTGACAGAAAGCTGGACAGCCACATTGGGCAGGAATGAAGATTATGAGCCAGATGAGACCAAATTCCTGCTGAGGGGATGGGCCGCTTAGGAAGCGGCTGTTAGCACTGTCCCGTAGACCAGCTGCTGTGCTGTGAATTCACAGTTCTGCCACTGACACCTCAAATTAACTTGAAGTAGCCCCCGCCGTTGAGTCATTTTCTCCAGACTCAAAGTCCCTAGGAGGAGGGTCTTCTGGCCATGGCTAGTCCTTGGCCTACACTTCAGCTGCCCGAGGGAGGGGATTCAGAGTTCAGTCCTTGAGCTTCTGGAGCGAAGTGCCCACCACACTGGCTACCTTTATACCTTCAGACACACTCTGCATCAGAAACTTCAAGTTATATTTTTTAAAAACCCAACTAGTTCTATTCAGTGCCTTTTCCCCATTCTCTCTTGAGTCCCGGCTCCGGGCCTTGCGGGGAGCAGGCCCCGTTGCAGGGAGGGTGTAAAGGAACAGCTCCATCAAAGAGCTTCCAGGGGCTCGCGACCAGGAGCGCGGAGGGAGAAGCAAACCCCAGCCCCTTGGTCATCTGAGGACAGTTCACTTAGAGCACGGCACATGGCGCTCCCATTAAAACCATGAGAGAAAACCAATCCGCTCTAAGGTTATCTTAGTACTATAGTGGACATTTATTAAATTATTCATTTATTCATTCAGTAAACATTTCTAAAGAAAAGCATTGTAGTGTAGTATCCAAAACAAATATACTCTGACTCCAAATAGGTCATTCGGTGACTTGGGGCGTACATTTTGGAGCTAGTTCATGAAAAATGCAGGTCTACACCAAATTACACGCCTTGCAGGGATTCTCCTGAAATGCTTTCCTGATAGAGGCAGTTGATGAAAAACACCTGCATTTACAGTTTTTCAGGCCTCCCCTGTGCAACAGCAGAAAGGCCAGGCTGTCAGCTAAGTGCTTGTCCAAATGAGAAGATTCAGAGTTCTTTGCTGAACTTGAAAACCTTTTTACCTCCACCTGCAGGTATCTCTGGAGTTGACCCCGCTTGGAAGTAGGATGGTTATTTGATTAGACAAGGGTATAAATCGAGTCCCTAAATTCTCATGACAGTACATGGACTTTGCTACTTGTATCAAAAACATATGGACATTTCTTTAATCAATGATACAAATCAGAATTTAAACTGCCCTCTAATACTTGCCAAATGCTCAGTTGAGACATCTGGTATTTGAGGAAGTTGGTCGAAGGGGATGTGATGACTCTCCAGGTCTCTTGGTTTCACAAGCTTTATCTCTACATAAAGTTAGATCATCCAGAAATAGGCTGTACTACTACTTTGACAAAATTCCTTTATGGAGTTTAGTTTCAATTGATTTTATGCTCTAATCTTTCAGAGTTGGTCAACAGGAGAAACATGCTTCAAAAACATGTTTCTGTGTCATGGGAAAAACCACAAAGACAACATTATGAAACCTTACTGTCCCTGATAAAAAGATTTACATTGTAGTATTTTCCTCCTCCCAGGAAAAGTTTCTAATTTCAGATTTTATTTGTCATGTACAAACTATTTAATCCAGGATGATTTCCTTATTGATTGACTTCCATGATGCTCAAAGACAGTTAGTTCTTTCCCGTAGTAAATGCAGTGCAGGTTGCTAGAAGCTCAAAACTTTTTAGTCAGCTTTAAAAAATTTAAAAATAATTCATATATCATAAAATTCACTCTGTAAAGTTTGGTTGTTTTCTGTATATTCACAGTGTGTGTAATCAGCAGCATTGTTTAATTCCAGAACATTTTCATCAGCTGGAAAAGAAATCCCATGCCCACTAGCAGTCATACCCTGCTTCTCCTTTCCCCAACCCCTGACGAACACTAATTTACTTTCTGCCTCTATGAATTTGCCTATTGTGCACTCTTCACACAAATAGAATCATACATTATGTGCATTTTTGGCCTGACTTCTTTCACTTAGCATAATGTTTTTCAGGGTTCATCTGTGTTATAGCATGCATCAGTACTTCATTCCTGTTTGTGGCTAAATAATATTCCATTCTTTAGATATAAACACATTTTGATAATTCATTCATCAGTTGATGAGCATTTGGGTTGTTTCTACCTTTGGGCTCTTATGAATAATGCTGCTATAAACATTCAGATACAAGTTCATATGTAAACCTATGTTTTCAGTTCTCATGGGTATATACGTAGGACTAGAATTACTGGGTCAGATGATAACTCTATGTTTAGTTTTTTTAATAATTCCCAAACTGTTTTCCAAAGGAGCTGTACTATTTTATACTCCCACCAACAGTGCGTGAGAGTCCATTTTCTCCACACCTTCACATCTGACTAAAACGGGTCACTCTGGTTGTTGTATTGAGCGAGGGCTGGAAGGGCAAGGGGAGAAACAGGAAGGTTAGTTAGGAGGCCATTGAAGTAATCCAAGTGAGAGGTTTTGGTGACTCAGATCAGTATATTAGCAGAGGACATGGCGAATAAATGGTTTGATTCTGAATATATTTTAAAAGTAGAGCCAACAGGACTTTCTGACAGATAGATGTTGATTGGGGGTTGAGAAGAGTTAACAAAGGGAAGAGTTGAGGACAACTTAAAGGTTTTTGGCTGGAGCAGCTGGAAAGATGCGATAAAAATAAACTGGATGGGGAAGACTGTGGATGGAGCAGGTTTGGGGAGAAAGGTCAGGTCTGTTTTGGACATGCTAAGCTCGGGATGCCTAGTAGACATTCAAGTGGAGATGTTTATAAGGCTCAAGCCTAAAGTTTATTCGAGAGGTCTTGGCTGGAGATGCGTATTTGGGAGTCGCTGGAATACAGATGATATATGGATTTATGGGACTGGGTGACGTAACCGAGAGTGAGTACCGGTAGAGAATCTGATGTAGGGCTGAGCCCCAACATGAAGAGAATGAGAGAGGAGAGGTAGCAAGCTGAAGGAGAGGAGAAACACCAACCGGGGTAGGGTGGGTAAAACTATGTGATATCCTGGAAACCCAAGTAGAGAAATTGTATCAAGGAAGAGGCAATGGTCAGTCGTATCAAATGCAGCTGAGAAGTCAAGTAAAGTGAGGA